CGTAATTATTTAACAATATCTATGTTTACATTTTTATATTAAGTTTTTGGCTATATTTTTTTTTTTTTTTGTAATTTTTATGTTTTTTATTTTTTTGTATTTTTTAACTTTATATTTTTTTGTATTTTTAGTTTTATATATTTTTATATTTTTTGTTTTTTACTTTTGGGCCGTTGTGCCGAAAGAAATCGAGAATTTAGATAAGATTTTATTTACGAAGATGTTTAAGCAGGACCGTCGAGAACTGTCACGCCGCCTGGGACAGCAATCCTGATTAGCACCCTTATTTATCAAATTTTAATTATATTATATATGAAGGACTTTTTTATATTGGTACCTATATTTCTTTTTTGGTACCTACATTGGCGCCCCTTGGATATCTGCCGCCCGGGGCAAACTGTCCCTCGCAACCCCCCGTCCCCCCTCTGAGTGGCACTGTGTTTAAGATTACTTAAATTTTTTTTGTAAAGATTATATTAAAGAAAATAAAAAAAAAAATTACAGGACTTTTGCACAAGCACCATGTTACAAACGCTACAGAAACATTCAATAGATAAAATTATATATCATAAAATATAGGCTGGCAGTGATTGTCTAATCAAAAATAACGATATTTTTATTGTAAAAATGAAAAAAATATTTAAAGGGAAAAGAAAAAATTAACTAAACATTTAGTTCTTACTATGAAGTTGTGTTTTAGTTTAGGTTATATGTTAAGTTTCAGGTTTCCATTCTCTATTTGACAAAAAACGTTTTTGATACAAATAAATTGACAGAAAATGTCCGCAGTGTTTTTACGGACATGATAATTATATTATAAAGTAATAATATTTCTGATGTTTCTGATTATTACCCTAATCACTGCCATAAGGTCAATTTTAGATATTATGGCAGTAATCAGGGTAATAATCATATGTCATCATAGGTTTAACAAAAAATTGTTAAACATATGGTGGCATCTGCTGTTCCATATATCACTCATGATGGTTTGAGTGAGTGTCAACAGCAGCTGTGAATTAGGGTTTTTCTCCGATAAATTTGCAGTTTCAATATATATATATATATATATATATATATATATATATATATATATATATATATATATATATATATATATATATATATATATATATATATATATATATATATATATATACATATATATATATATATATATATATATATATATATATATATATATATATATATATATATATAAATATATGTATGTATATATATACATATATATATATATATATATATATATATATATATATATATATATATATATATATATATATATATATATATATATATATATATATATATGTATATATATATATATATATATATATATATATATATATATATATATATATATATATATATATATATATATATATATATATATATATATATATATATATATATATATTGAGGAGGAGCAAAAGACTTTGCTCCTTCGTTGATAATACTCCGAGACTCCTGCTTTTGACGGGTAGGAAAAGTGTTTCTTGTTTGAACGGGTCTTTTGCAATAGATTTTCATAAATAGCTCTATGTAAACGCTCTATTACCCAATCAGGAGTGGGCAAAAGCGTTTGCTAGAAACCACACTTTTGACATTTCTTGCGTATTTATGAAAATAGTCTTTCCCCTAACATTTTGTTTTGGTGAAAATGTTTTTATAATATGTTGAAAGGGAGTTAAGTATTTCACCAGGTTCACACGTCAATGTGCCGTCATTCTTTCGAAGTTTCGGAAATTGAATTGTTCCGCTGTTAAGTTTTTTCCAAATTATACAAAAGTTTTGAAAGTATTTTATCTTTTAACAAATTTTTTTTTAAACAGTCGCAATTATTTATTCTATATTATTAGCTGGGGTGATTTTTAACTTGTGTTCATAGGAAGAATATTTACCCAACTTTACCGGGATCCCTGTAGGCCAAGGGTGAGATCTGGGTGAATGATTTTACGTATAAACGCAATCTTAAAGTTATAAGAGCTTAATAAGATAGGCAGGATCCCGGTTGTTTTTTGATCCTGGTTAGACGGGGTGATTTTATCCATATGAACAGCCACTTACTCGTTTTTTGAGGCAACTCTATAAAATAAAAGAAGATAAAAAATAACTTCTTAAAGTTAGTTTTCTTTTATCAAACTGGCAATAAAGATGAATATAAGCCAATTTGAGATAAATGTTTTAGAAAATGGTTTAGTTATTTAAACACCGCAATTTTTTTAAACACTAAAAAATAAAAGAAAAGAGAAGGTATTTGTTAAAATACAAAGATGGTTGCATTCACTTTTGTACAACCAATCACTTGAAATCTGATAGTTAACTTTGCTTTTGTAGCAGAGGTTACATAAGTCTTTATATAAGTCTAATTGCTCTCCGTGTCGTTTGAATTTTGCAGCGCTGACATTAAATTCAAGTTTTCGAATTTTGCAATTTTTTTTTTTACTTTTTTATTTTGTCTTTGCTTAGATCTTTTTCAGCAGCTCTTTTTCTTTTATTCTCTTCAGCTTGCTTTTCTTTTCTACTGATTTTTGAAAAGTTTGTGTGTTTCGATAAGATTTCGGATTTGTTACATTTACCGTTTCTTTTCTTCTTCTTATTTCTTCTTTTTGCAGGTTTTTGAAGTCTTACCTCTGTTTTTTTTGAAGACTTACATTTGTTTCTTTTTAAAGTCTTACCTCTATTCTTAAGTATTTAGTTTAGATCTTTTACTCACTTTCGCATGCTTTTCAAAAGCAACTCTTTTTCTAGGAATACTACGCGTAGAGAATAAATGGTACCAAATACTAATTGTTAAGTTCTTTCCAAAATATTCACAAAAATATGCTTGGATGGGTTTAAACAACCTGTGGTATATCTTCAATATGGTACTTATTAATTCAATTAAAATGTTGTAATCAAAAAAATTGTACATACATGGCATGATCAAAGACTATTGTAAATATGTAGCGCGATTGCAGACTATTTCATCAACTTATTAATATCTGCTAATTAATACTTTGTGCATTAAGACTGCAGTACATACATATAGCAAAAGAAGAGATTTTTTATATATTAAATTTTAAAGGCCTAGTTATATTAAACAAGCGGTCAAAATGTAACTAATCATAATTCAACCATACTCTATTGTGTTAGATTTTAATGTCATATTTTAACTATAGGCTACCCCAATTTATTGTTTACTAACTTAATAATATAACTACATATAATATAATTTTGTTCAATATTTGAAAACATTTTTAAACGTATTTGCATAAAAATATTCAAAAGCTACCCTCTACCCTATCTCTATGGATTAAACCACAAATAATTATTCCAGCTCGTGCTAATCAAACTCGATCGCAGCTAAGACGGGAAATAACAAGAAATTAATAACAATAAATACAATTAATCAGTCACACGGCGTCATCTACTGTTGACGTGCTCCGCACTATTTAACCCTTGTTTAATTGTGCTGCAGATTATTTTACTACCACTTCTACCCTTCATCTCTTTGTTTTATGAAAAACTTTATTTACAACAAAATAAAACACGTTTTTGTGTTCAGTTTTATTTTGTGTTCAGGCTTTTTTTTATGAAATGGACTTTAATCCAACATAACTATAACAAATTTTTTCTACATATTGCATGACGATGTCACATCTATGATGTGGACTTGTGTTGTTTATATCAGTTTTTATATTTTTATGTTTACATTTTTATTTTATTTTTATTTATCATTTATAGCAAGTTTTTTAAATTTATAAACAAATCTTTTCATAGATATTTATAACTTTGTATTTTTGAACCTTTTCTTCACAGAGAAGCAGCACTATTGGTATTACTAGCTATTCCACCATAACTAAATGTGCAGCTGAGAAGGATTTAAATTTTTATCTATTTTACAACTTGTAATATTTCAGATTTATCTGAAATATCACAAATTGTTCTTTTTAATTTTTCATTGTTTTTTTCTACCTGCCTTCTTTATATGTTTTAAGTCAGGGTCGCCCATTTTTTGTCTGCCAAATTTTAAATTTTGCCACTCAAATGTTTACTTTGAATAAAGACATTATTTAGCAAATATCATGCTCGGCATTTCTCTTTTATTTTTTTTATTTTTTTTTTTATGTAATAATTGACGCGGCAGTAAAATAAATAACATAGTATAGCCAAGTTTGTTATATAAATAACCTATATATAAGCTATTTATACAAGAATTTAATTCATGTCACAAGAATACATTAATTTTAGGAAATAGTTAATAACGAAACAAATAAAATGTTGTATTAAGGTAAAAGATAAAAGAATAAAATAAAAAAATAAGATGTTTTTAGTTATCATGCAAACAATTTTTTTGTTAATTCTTAAATTAAAAAGTTTTTTTTGCTCAAGAAATTCGTGGTTTCATTCCTAATAAAAAAAAAAATTGCTGAAAATTTTGAAACGTTTGCAAAAATAAAGTTTCATAAAGACTTTTTGTAATTCAAATACTTTTTAATTAATTTTTAATCAAAGTACTTCATGTATTTTCATTATTTTGTCAGGGTTATATTCTTTAAGAATGTCACTGCTTTGCTACTTTGTACCTGTATAAATATTTACTTTATTATTAATGATTAGTTATAGTACTATAAAGGGACGTGTATGTGATGTGTTCATTCATGGTTTAAATCTGACATGTATTTTGTAGTTTGTTATTTTGGTTTCATCTGAGGTTTAATAATTCAATCGAATTTTTTTTTTCGTGACAGATTTTAGTTTTAGTTTTAATTTTGCACTTTTATTTTTTAAGAGTTTTTAAGTACTTTTACGAGAGCAGCATTTACAAGTATAAAAAACTTGTTTATAAAATTATTTATTTACAAGTATATTTTACAAGTATAGAGAACTTGTTTATAAAAATATTTTTTTAAAAAATCATTAAGATTAAACTGTTAAAAACCAATAAGTTATTTTGTTTATCAAGGTTTAAAAAAATATAAAACTTTTAATTTTTCTACCTGAATTAAGTTCGTACTTCGTTCCCTTCCCCATTGCTGTAAAAACTGATATACAATTTATTTTTTTAATATAAAGGTTAAGTATTTTTTGAAAACTAATGAGATATGAATACAAAGGTTATTTCTAACTTTCAATGTAAATCTGAATAAATCACAGCTGATGTTTGATTAGGAGTAATGTTTACTAACTGATCAATTTTCAATATTGTTTATTAAGTTATATATTTAACAGTGTTTTTCTTGAGAAAACTATCATTTTACAATCTGCTGGAAACGTTTTTCATCAATTTTTAAGTTTAATGGTGTTAGTTGAGGAATATAATTTTTTTTTTTTTTTTTGCTGAGGGCGGATTCCGGATTTTTTGGTATTTAAGCTAAATAACCTCCAAGTAAGTTCCAGACTCTTTTGTATGCTCATATTCATGATTTAATGTTTTGCTATAAATTTCGTTAGTTAGAACCTGGGAGCAAAAATAGCCTAAAACGTAGATATTAAGCGCCTAAATGTGAAAGATTCGGCTTTTCCAGAAAAAAGTTGTGGTTTCTATATATCTCAAAACTATTATTCAAGATATTAAAGTTAATTTTTCATTTACAAAGTACAAATTTAACGTAGATAGTATAAATTTAAAATATTAAATGTCCAATTTTAGATTGTTTTCAAAAATTGCAAACAACAGGGGTTCGATTACGCTTCTATGAATACTGCCTTTTTTTTCAGTAATCAAATGTAGTACAATCAGGTTTTATTAAAGAAAATGTTTTAAAATCTTAACAGTTTTAATTACAATCTTGGATATTATTTATCTTTTCTTCCATCTTTTTAAATATTTTAAATACTACGCAAAAAAAAAAAAAAAATAAGAAAAGCAAAGTCATTGAAAATTATTTTTATCAAAAGGTGAAGATTTTTGTCACTTTTTTTTATTTTAAAAGTTTATTTGTGTAAACATCAAAACCAAATATTTATATACTAATTTACTTTTATAATTGCGCTGTTATCATAAAGCTTAAAATCACAGCTTAGTAAAAATAGATCCACCTCGTGACATTGTTATAAAGTAATAATTTATTTTGTGACAGTAAAAAATACTCGTCTCCAGCTCCTTTGTTGTAATAAACAAAAACAATCTAGCGTAGAAACGCATTGGTAGTGTTGAAACAATTCTTCTTCACGCACAGTTAAATAGCATTCTTGTAATGTCTGAGCTAAAACTAATCTAAATCCAGTTAAAATATTAAAAGTTTAATCAAAGATGTATTACAAGTTCAATGAAACTATAAATATACATTAATGTATTATCATAACGCCATATATATTATAGCAATATAATATATAATCATAGCAAATATATAATTATAACGTTATCAATGTGATTAAAAAGATTACATTTATCAATCTAACTATCAATTAACGAAAAAAATCTATTAATTAATGAGAGTGCCAAATTTTATAATTATATGTGTTTAAACTTTATTTAAAAAAATTAAAAGTACATAACTGCATATTTAATTTTCATATCACCATCCACCTTTAGAATAGAATCTTTACTATTTTCATATCACCCTTCACCTTTCTAATAGAAACTTTATTATTTTCATATCACCCTTCACCTTTCTAATAGAAACTTTACTATTTTCATATCACCCTTCACCTTTCTAATAGTAACTTTACTACTTTTTCATTTTCAAAAAAGTATTATAATAAAATACTAAAAAAATACTAAAAAAGTACTAAAAAAATTACTAAAATACTAATGAATAGATGTTCAAAAAGTTCAAATACAAAAATATATTTGCAAAAAATTGCTGCGAAAAAAAGCAAAAAATCTATTTAGTGGAACAATACCAGAATAAGATGGGTGTGGGTATTAAAGCCCACTAGTCTAAAAATATGCAAGATTACTTATTGTTTTATAAATGTGAGATAAACAATGCATTAAAAGAATGTTTCTTAACTTTTTTCTGTTTTTTCTTTATTTATTTTTTGTATTTTTTACATCGGCCTTATTACCCCGTAAGAGGGGCAATCACTGATCTCTATAATAACTGGATAGCGCATCTCTAATATCAAAAGTGAAGCCAATATTTTGTACGGCCGCCATATTGGAAAGCCCCAGAATACCGAAAATACAGTGATTGCGCTTGAAGATGTACCTTTTTACTTCGTTTATATCTACTCGACCAAGTCACATATTTCAATAATATTATTATATTTAAAATGTTTAAAGGTGTAAAAATTATAAAAGGGAATCAAAAACACGCAAAACATTAACGACGAAGAGAAATATCGCTATAAAGAAATAATAAAATTTGTATTGCTTTCTATGAACTTGTTAAATTTATTGAATTCATGATATTCTAAATAAAACTTTTCTAAAAGACAAATTGATATTTGATCTGGTTACTTTTGGGTGTTTATTTTAACGACTTGATGCGACCTTACTTAGCAATAGTAGCTGGAAAGTAACTTTACAAGTATAAAACATGATAAAAACATTGTATCAAACATTTTTGTAAATGGTTTTCTAATTTTTGAAACTCTGAGGGCATGTTTATATTGTTCCACAACTGAAATATCATCAACTATGCAATACTTTATTAAAATTGATATCACTTAATAACAATGTTTTGTTCTGTTGCTTTGCTAACTTTAATTACACTTTGTGAAGGTTTGAAAAAGCCATCTCTAACTTTAAAAAACACTGGATATTTGGTGATAACTAGTTATTTGCAGTTTTACATTAAAGTATTTAGTGTTTTAGACTAAATAACAGCATCACATACATGTTGATTGTTTATATGTAAATATGGTATAAATGAAAACAGACTTGGTTTCTTTCAAGTTTTTTTACAACTATTGACTCTAAAGTAAAACAATAATGATTCAGCTAACATCTATCAGTTTTATACTGATAAATATTAGTTGTATAATTAATAAATATTTAAAATATCTCTTGTGAAAACAAATAAGCAACATAAAAGACCAAAATGAAAGGTGAACAATTTTTTTTTTAAGTGTACATACTTTTTTACTTTTCCCTACCACATAATACCTTTTTATTCAATGTTTGTTTTGTTATTCAATGCTTATACAAGTTATTCAATGATTATTTTGTTCAAGATGATAGAGCTAACTATTATTTTATTTACTTAAACATATTCTTTTGTAATTGCAATATCTTATACAAATGTTCTGGTGTTGTGAAAATGTCTAATGGCATTTACAAAAATGTCTTGAAAGTATTTTTCGACAGTTAAGCGTTAAGTTAATTTATATATATATATATATATATATATATATATATATACACGCAAGAACAAAATTATTTAAGGTAAATATAAAGATTTGCTATATGTTGCCTAAGGAACCTTTAGGTTGTGTTACAATCACATTGCCTAACTAATGATTCATACAGCAAACTTGTAAGCTGTTTACCTTGCAAATATGTTACAAGCCTCAGGCATTTTGCAGAGGGCAATTAAGAATCAAAAGGTGCATACTAATATACACTTGCATGCTATTATAATAATATTATACCAGGGTGGCCAGCTAACTGGAAATCATGGAAAAGTCAGGGAATTTTTTCTAGTCAGGAAAATCAGGGAAAAATGTCTTTTTTGAAAATTTAATTTTTTTAAGGTTTTTTTTTACTTACTCCCAAACAACAAAACTTAAAAATTCACACTTCAAAATATAACTGAGTCAGGGAAAAATATAAAAAGTCAGGGAATTTAATTCTTGAAAGAATTAATTCTTGAAAGTGGCTGGCCACCCTGTATACATAATTTATATATATATATATACATATATATATATATATATATATATATATATATATATATATATATATATATATATATATATATATATATATATATATATATTATATATATATATATATATATACATATATATATATATATATATATATATATATATATATATATATATATATATATATATATATATATATATATTTATGTCACTCTCCATGAAATAATCTGAACATATATCATCAGATTTACTCGGTTTTTAATAATCAATGCATTTATAAGGTTTTTGCATTTTTTATTTATCAAGCGAAATCTGTGTTTTAAGCGCATATAAGTTTAACGCAACTTCGGATTTATAAATTCTGGGGCTTTCCAATATGGCGTCTTTTGGCTTCAAAAATTTCAAAATTTTATTAGGAGATGCGCTATCCAGTTATTATAGAGATCAGTGGGGGCAATCAAAAATATTTACTATTTTGGTCATAGTATTTTATAATATGACCAAAAGTCTGTTAGGTGGGCACACCTACCTTAATACGCACACCTAACTTAATACGCACACCTACCTCAGTTACTTTCCAATATTATTTTTATTTTTTATGGCCGAGCCTTTATATAGCCATTTTTATTCCTTGTTAAAGTTCATTTGGTATAAAAGTTTGATAAAAAAAAATTATGAAAAAAGACGAATCTACTGGAATATGAAATATTAAATAAATAACATTCCAAAACGAACTAAAAACTAAGTTTATTTAAATAAAATATATTTTTTTTTAAGTTTTGATGGTCGTATACTTGTTAATGAAATGTTTTTATACATACCCGTCAACTATTATTTTGCAAGAGGCCACAACCATTATTTTGAAAAATAATGGTTGTGGCCTCGCCAATATGCCCTTCCTCTATCCCATCCACCCAAAAAAATTTTCTTTAAAACGTTTTTTTTTTTTTTCATATAACTTGTTTAACCATTACTACAATTGACTTACTCAACCATTACTACCAAACGACTTACTCAACCTATTACCAACCGACATACATAACCTACTGCCAACTGACTTACTTAACTTTACTTACTGACTTTCTGGCGAGAGAACTTAAGGCGAGAGAAAAGTAAATCATGAACTTGCTTTTGTATTTAAGCTCAACTAAAAGTCAATTCATAATAGCATTACCTTTGTAAATAATTTTTCACCTTAAGTGAAGTCTGGTACCTTTGTAGATGTAAATTTGTTATCTTAACGTTTTCTTGGTCTTTTTAGTTTCTGTGCAGCAGAGTACATATTGGTGCCCGCCAGTATCTTTGCTTCTTCTTCAAAGTGTTTTTATTTGATTTAACCTCTTGAAAAGAAAAATAGACAAAGAATTA